TACTTCCTTCTGTCTAAACATTTATTTAGATCATTTTTAAAATGTGTATAATTTATTCCATACATTGTAAAACATATATGGAGCAATTGCTGTTGGTACTGTAAAATTGGATTTTTTTAAAACATATCAGACAAATTTTGAGATTCATCTTGATTTATCATCTAAATTGTAATTAAATCCCTGATCCAACCTCATTAAAATGAATGGAAAGACTCCCATTGGCTTCAGTAGGAACTCAGACTCTTAGGGCTTGCCTATGCAAACATTTCATTCACTGCAAGTTGGGGTGTAAATTTACCTCACATTAGCCTGCCATGGACTAATTGTCCATGTGCACCCTGCTGACACCCATTAACCAACTGCTAATGCATGTCAGCAAGGTACACACAGTCAGTCAGTGGCAGGCTTGTGCGGGGTAGATTCACACCCCAGCATGCTATGAACTGAATGTTTGCATAGACAAGCCCGTAGACAATTTTCATTGACTTCATCAGAAGCCTTGTGGTTCCCTAAATAAATATAAAGACAGACAGCTTTTAGACATTGATGTGGGTCACAAAATCCTTATAAAATGGTTACTTCTAAGTATCCCAGGTATTATAGATTAGTTTCAAAATTCCACAAAGGGTCAAATCCATTGGGCTTAGCTGCTTGACAAAAGCCAGCAGGATATGATCCATCCAACATAAATGAAGCTAGGAATTGAATAAAGGCCAAATTATCTTTATGAAAAAATGTGTTTTTCTAACTACACCTCTACTTAGATATAACGCTGTCCTCGGGAGCCAAAAAGTCTTACTGCGTTATAGGTGAAACCGCATTATATCGAACTTGCTTTGATCCGCCGGAGTGCTGCTTTACCGCGTTATATCCGAATTCGTGTTATATCGGGTCGCATTATATCGGGGTAGAGGTGTACCAGCACACCAAAATTTCCAATACTTTCTAGGTTGGGTTAGAGGTAGCTTTTTTCCTGGTATTTCAGGACAGTACCTCCATTTCCAGCCATGTTTTACATCAAGAAGGACCTGATGTCATGTAAAACTGAGTTTCCAGCCTCCTGTAATTACAGGTGTAAATGCTATTATTTAGACATCTGGCTACCTGACCTGCATGTACAAATCAGGTAGCTGGATTCCTACATTCTTGGATTTGTATCCACAGTTAACTGTGGGCACAAAACTGGAGGTTAGGTTGAGGTTCCTTTAAAAATCAACCCTGAGAGGTCTAGCAATTAGAGTGAATCTCTGCAGTTTTGGCCCTGCAATTAATTTGAAGCCAGATTGATGACCTGTAAAGTTATTTAGCCATTAATACAGAGCAAAATATCCCAGACTGTTCTATTCTATCCTGTTCTATATAGGTTCTTATACTGTGCTCCTCACCATAGTATGTGAGTGCCTTCCAGTTTCACATTGAGCAACTCGACTACATATCTGTCACATGCATGTGCAGTGGAAGCATGTGAAGTGGAGTCCCTTGTTTTGGGAGAGTATATATATGTATGTGTCGCTATATATTTATAACTTTCACTGAGGCACAATACTTCCATGAAGAGGTGGTTTGTCTCTGCACAGCCATTTACTGTGAGTTTTCTTGTACTGGGACAATGTAGTTCATAGACAGTAATGGGAAAAGCAATACTGAGTGGGGTTAGGATAACTGTAGATAGGGATAAAAACCTTAAGAAGAACAAGTTAACAGAAAAGGAAATAGTGCATAAAATGTTGGGGTGGCCTACAAAAACTACAGCTGAACACCTCATCAGGCAGAAAGGGGACTTGAACTTATGGTTTTCTGAATCCTAGGTGAGTGCACAAACCACTGGGCTGTAAGGAAGGATCACTCCTGTTCTGTGTGGAGTTAGGTGTCCTCTAAGAATGCCTATTAGATGGGCCCTACACATGAGACAGGGAGTGAACATCTGTCTTTCCATGGTTCATGGATTGCTCCTTGGGGCTTAAGCAAGCAATAGGTGCCTAGAGGGAGGCAGCAGTGCTCATGCTGAGAGGTAGAAACTTAGGCACCTTGGCAACTATTACTGCGAAAACGTAGGTGTTGGGTGAGTTTAGGCACCTATGGGGATAGGCAGCAGCCAAACAGCAGTTTTGTGGATCGCAGTGGCACCTAAAAACAGTGTGAGGGTTAGGTGCCTCAGTACCTTTGTGGAGCCATACCTGGGACCTTGATCTTGATTCAAAATTCTATGGGAAGTCCATGTGAAGAGCAGAGGACTGGGGTGATGTGTTCATGGTAGCCTGTGTTGCTGAGGAGATGTGCTGCAGCATTCTGTACTAGTTGGAGTTTCCTAAGTGTTGAAAGCTTCATGCCTAGGTGTATTACATTGCTGTAATCCATCTGAGAAGTGACAAAGGTGTGGATAACAGAGACCATGTTATCATCAGCCAAGACCATGTTATCATCAGCCTATAAAAGGAGCAGAGTGTGTGGTTTAGAGGAATGAGTGTGGTGGTGCAAACAGGACTGCCTCCGTTTTCATCCCAGTTCTGCTAGTGATTCCCTGCACTGGACAAATCATTTAGAATGGGATTTTTCAAAGGTGCCTAAGTGACTTAGGAGCACATGGCCCATTTCAACTTGTATAGGGAACATCAATGGGCCTTGTACTCCTAAGACACTTAGGTGATTTAGAAAATCCCACCCTGTCTCATAGTCTCCATATGTAAATTGAGGATAATAATAATTATGCTCACTTAGCTCAAATGAGTCTGTCACAGGCTGACTGGTCCTTTGAGTAGGGTGACCAGATGTCCTGATTTTATAGGGACAGTCCCGATAATTGGGGCTTTTTCTTATATAGGCTCCTATTCCCCCCCCCCCCCAATCCTGTCCTGATGTTTCACACTTGCTATCTGGTCACCCTACCTTTGAGGCAAGTTAGGCTTAGCCTGGCTTGCGATGATCAGATAACCAATCCCTAGCTGATCCTGACTGTCTGAGGATCAGATGGCTCAATTCAATTATCAGACACAGCTGAGGAAGAGTTGGGTGACTTCCATAAAGGACTGGAAAAGCTCAGTTGTGGAAAGAAGTTGTGTCCTGTGACTTGCCTGAAGGAAAAAGGTAGTAGGCCCCTGTATCAGGCATGGGACAACGCTAACCCTCAGGCAGGCAGCCTGGATATAGATTGGGAATAAGGATCCAGTTTGGAGAGAACCAGACCTGGGGGAAAGACTCTGGGAAAGTAGCCCTGAAGGTCAGTGGTTTGGGTAAGAGGTGGGCCTTCAGGAAGAAACCTAAGGGTCAGCGCTCTATAAGGGAGTGGAGTGGAAGGGCAAGAGAGGTGAAAGATGCTTTTATTTTATGCTGTTTGGACTAGAGGCTGCTACTAGAAAGGGCTTCCTTGTGGGACGGTAGGCCTGTTGCAGGACTATTGTTGGGACTAAGAGGGAAACAAGTGAAGCCGTGACTGCTCCATGCCACAGCAGGCAGGGAGTGGGTACTCTCCTAGGCTCTTAGAAGTATTCATTACTTAATGCTTATACAATACTTTGAAGATGTAAACCACAGTACTATTCACAGAAACTGAAGAAGTGTTCATTCACCCATCCATCTCATACCACCCATTTAAAGGAACAGCTCCTCATTCAGGCCAATAGAGGGATGTTTGGGGTTTTTTTTTAGTTTTAAGAACTAACACCAAAACTGCAAACCCAATAGATGTATCTTACTGATGTAGCATAAAACTAGTTTGTGGCCAAAAATACATACTGTACAAGGTGCCCAAAAAGTCCTGCTACTTCTAGCTGCCAAACAAGAGGCTTTATGTCATACAAAAGACACTGGTTGAATCTTGCAACAGAACAAATGGACTGTAAAGAAAAAACACTCCGCAGCTGTCTGAGGATTTTTCTGTTATTTCCAACCAGGGCCGGCTCTAGGATTTTTGCCGCCCCAAGCAAAAACAATTTTGGCCGCACCCCTGTTTTCTTCTTACCCCACCCCTGGCCCCGCCTCAACTCTGCCCCTTCCCCAAATCCCCAGCCCTGCCTCCTCCCCCTAGGCTCTCAAGCCTAGGAGGGAGGGAGGGAGGTGGAGAAGCGGCGCGCGCGCCGTGGCCACTCGGAGTCTCCCCCTCCCTCCCAGGCTCTCAAACCCTCACCTGGGAGGGAGGGTGAGCAGCAGCGTGCGAATCAGCTGTTTCGCACGCCGCGGTCGCTCGGGATCTCCCCCTCCCTCCCAGGTTTGAGAGCCTGGGAGGGAGGGCGAGCAGTGGCGCGCGAATCAGCTGTTTCGCACGCCGCAGCCGCTCGGGATCTCTCCCTCCCTCCCAGGTTTGAGATCCTGGGAGGGAGGGCGAGCAGCTGCGCGCGAATCAGCTGTTTCGCGCGCTGTGGCGAGCTAGGGCGGCCGGGGCACATTTTTAGGGGCGGCATTCTGGCGCCGGCCATGCCGCCCCTAAAAATGTGCCGCCCCAAGCACCAGCTTGTTTTGCTGGTGCCTAGAGCCGGCCCTGTTTCCAACCTTCTGAACCTCATTTAAAAGAGAGAGGAAGTCATCTGTGATGAAGTGTGATCACAAAACACAAATAAGTATTGCAGGGAAATTCCTATGCATAGCATCTGACCGTAGAGAATGAGGAAAGGAAAGTGACCCCACTCACAGTCCATGCTGTGGCAGCAGAGAGGCTGATTCAGTGGGGAGCACTATAAATCTGATCAAGAGACAAATAAAACCCTGGCTCAAGATAGTAGATGCTGCTGTACCTTACATATTTATATGGAACCATTAAATATAGCCCTTTTTTGTGGTATTTTGGTGAGCGACGTGGGCGATACCTGCATTGCTGGGAAGCAAAATTCCTATTAATGAAAATGGTGAGTGAAAAGTGAATAGAGAGTAACGTTGAAAGTAAACCCAGTGATGTAAGACCCAGAAAGCCAGTACCCACATCACCTCCTCCAGCATGAAGTATTTTAGATTTTCTTACTGGCAGTTTTTTGGTGGTTGTGCCTGATTATTTATTACTTGTATTACAGAACTGCTTAGGGGCCCCAGCCATACACCAGGACTCCACTGTGCTAGATGCTGTACAAACACAGAACAAAAAGATGGTTCCTGCCCTGATAAGGTTGCAATCCAAGTATAAGAACAGATACAAAAGGTAGATGCAACAAGCAGATGGGAAGCATAAGAACATCATGTGTCAGTACTGGTCAACAAGGTAAGTAGAGGTCACAGTACACCAGCTGCCTAGCCATTGCCAAGTTTTTTGTCAATATCACAGCAGGTGTGGGTGGGTGGAGGGAGTGGGTGTAATTCCACCAGTCTCAGATAAATGGTTCCTCTTAAAGAGTAGAACACCTGTACCATTTAAACAGGCAATCCTAGTTGGGAATCTTGCACTGTATAGCTGTTAAATGTTTATTAGGTAGCAGATATTTGAAAATAATATCTTGGAGCCTGATCCAAAGGCCATTGAAATAAATGGACAAATGGGTTTCTGTTGACTTCAACGGGCACTGGATATTCTTGTCCTTAACATTATTCTCCATCAACACGTTTGATGAACTTCAGGATGTCACCTTTCCCAGGCCTTTTCTGGGGGTGATTAATTGGGGAGCTTGGTTGGGGTAATATTATTTGGAGTTGGGAAGTTGTAGGTGGCCTTTATTAAGATCTAATGTTATAGCCCTTGTTTGGGCACCCTGCTTTCTTAAATTAAAGAAGCCTCTTTTATATAAAACCTAGAGTATAAGTGAGGCACAGTAAATAAATGCAAATGACTAAATAAATGTTACCATGGTTACATGATTATCAATTACTGTGATCCTTCCATGGCCATAAAACATTGACTAAAGAGCTTGACATTACAAAAGCTTAAATGCTGATGCCTTTATAGAGATCCTACAGGATCAAGTTTTCTGCCTTGCCACTGTAGTAATTACAACTGATTATCAGGAGTGGGGGGGAATGAAAGAACAAAGACATCTATCAGCCCATTGTGTTTATAAATGAAAATTGTCTTTACATATAAGAACGCTACATTGTAGTTGGACGATATAAACACAGTTAGACTATAATCTGAAAGGCAGCTCAGCCAAATTAGTTCTGCAATTTTCAGATATATAGAAGATATGCTGCAGAAGTGGTACATACGTGATCCTACACTCGCATAGCATGAAAATAGACCCTTAGCATTACTTACAGTCAGCTAAGAATAGGCTGTATGAATGCTATATGCTGTTTCCAGCACAGGTATGCCATTGAATATAACAAAGGGTAAAATCCTGGCCCCATTGAAATAATGGGAGTTTTTCCGTTGACTTCAATGGAGACAAGGTTTCAACCAAAGCAACTGCTTTATTTTGTGGTGATATGAATATGCTCTGCTATGGTGTCAACTATAATAAATTACTCTATTAAATTCACCTTTGGTTTAATCCAGTAAGAGAAGGAAACTTCAAAGCAGAGGTTACCTGAGTAATGTTACACTCAACCAAGTGCTGTAGGAGTCTCTGAGCAATGTATTCTGTTATACTAGGCTCAATCAAGAGTTAAGGATTGTGGGGTAGCCTAATTTAGGAATTTCCTTGCTCTTCTGGGTTTGATATAGAGCCTTGTCTCAATGTGGAACTACATAGGAGTGACTTTTCATGAATCAAAGCACAAATAAATCTCATAATGTAATTGGAAAGTATGTACTATTTAAAATATATCATACTGAGGGGGAGGGAAATTTCTTGTTTAAAATTTAAAGTTAATGTATCTCTCCTGGAAGAGGCCGGAATGACTGACACCCCTGGAGTGCAAAGTCCTCTTTTATCCGCACGTAGCAATTACTGTGTAGGCGGCAGCAGCAGTGCAAGCTTCCCCACTCCCTGCCTGTTCCCACTTCCCAATCCCACCCAGCTGATGTATCTCATCCTGGACCTTGAGGACCCCACCTCTACGTGATGACAGAGTATTTTAGTCTTCATGCCAATTTGTTCCTTTACCTCCCTACTAAGGCTGCCAAAGGTTTTAATTAGTGTAAATTCTGGCAGTGGTTTTTGTGATGTAGATCCCTGGACTGAGACCATTAACTCATTTTACATAGGCCACTGAACAGCCATCAGACGGGAACAACTTTCAGATACCACCAAACTAAGCCAGATTCAACCAAGTGACTTGCTGGTGGCAGGCTCCTGTTCAATACCATTTTTGTGAGATACTCAGTCCCATTCCTTGTGTGTTTTTTAATAAAATTTTTGTTAAATGATGAGGCGCTCGACTATGGACCTCAGAGTTCAAGTTGTAGCAAACTGCAGCAGCTGAATTACAAACCTCTGGAAAAATGGAATGATAATGGAAATGCTTTACTGTCCCTTAACGATAATATCAACCTGGGGTGACACTAATAATACTGTGGTACTGCAGGCAGAATTATAAAGTACAGCACATAGAACTTCCATACAATACCAAGTGCACATAGGGGTTCTATGCTAAGTTAAGAGTTTTAGTGAATTCCTAGTGAGGCTAATAGTCTTTCAAGTAATTTGGAATATTAATTTATGATGTATTAATCATTTTGACTTATACAGCACTCTAAGTTTACATAGACTCAGAGTGAAATCCTGACCACACTGAAGTCAATAGCAAAACTCCCTTTGACTTGAATGGGGCCAGGATTTCACCTGCAGTATCGTTACACCCCTTGACCTGAATAGTTAGCCAAAATTCAGGGCCTTGTGGGTTGTTTCCATTAGGAGGAGAAATTGATGATGGAGTTGGGTATTCTTTGATACAATCCTATTCATCGACAAAGAATGAACTGATAGTTCTGTTTCTCTCAACACAGTAGGAATCAAACAGCAGGAGACAGTTTTTTTGCTCACACTACCAAGCCTCTTTCCAGCCAGTGCTTTACTCAAAAGTTCTCTTAGCTTTTCTCAGGCTAGGTCTACACTACCCGTCTGAATCAGCGGGTAGAAATTGATCTCTCGGGGATCAAATTATCGCGTCTCGTTGGGACGCGACAATCGATCCCCGAATCGATGCGCTTACTCCACCAGCGGAGGTAGGAGTAAGC